CTGGCAATAACGTTTTAAAAGTAGCCTATCATTAATGGTTATTTTCTCTGGAATCTTAACTTTAAATAAATTATTAAAAAAATAACATATTTTTTAGTAATATCAATACGAATATTTTCGAGAAGCTTTGAGTAAAGTCGTCTTTATGGTTATTCCATGCTAGATGTAACTGTTATTAGGCAGATATTGTATATGAATATTTTACTACTTTGAAAAAAGGAGATTCTTAATTCGACTGTATTTTTTGTTACAAGATACTGTGGCCAATCTACGTCGATTTTTTATTTTTACTGAACTGGTTATTACTGTGTTGGTTTCATAATAATTTCTCATCGTTCATGTAGGTTTTATTATAGAACGAAATGTTTTTAATTTTTCATGTACAGAATTTGTCAATTCTTAGAAACTAAGTCGTCTTTCGGTACGGCGTTTACAAGCTAATTAGAATCTTAGGAACTTTGCCAAAAATAAGAAAATATAGCTATCCGTCATCAGTGGCACCCTCAATATTTGTATAATTGAAGTCAACTTTGCCGACTTCAATTCACAAATTTTCAATTCACGAAAACGCGTGTATTTACACGCGTTTTCGATCCCGATAAATTTCGATCGAATCCCAAAAACATTTCAATTCTACGACACGTTACGAGATCATCTCCAGTTCTGTTCTCAATTTTGATTCTGTTATAATAATAATGAATTGTTAAAAACTGTCTATTCTTTTGAATAGATAATAACAACGCGGACCCGGCTACGCGTTGGTGTGCCTAAGGTTCTTGAATAAAATAATATTGCTATTGCGACTATAAATTGAGATACTATTCTATCTTTTAAGTTGGATCAAATTGCACACAATATACAAATCAAATTTGCAATCAGTTCAGTAGTTTAGGAGTCCATCGTGAACAAATAACATGACACGTAATTTTTATATATAAAGTTAAATAATAAATAAAATAAATGATAAATCTTGTAGTGAAAGATTTATAAAATAACTCTTTTCGTAACTTACTGTGACTTGCTACTTTGTACGTTACAATTACGATAAAATATAGTTCGTTTTATATATAAGACATAGTTCACTCATGTACGAAGTTATATTCAAATTTCTTAAGCCATTTAGGTTTATTCAGGAAGAAGCCTACAAACATCTATTAAAATATCCGTTCAGTATTTAAGCTTGATCGAGTGAAATAAATAAAAATATCTTTTTAAAATTATTACATTCAGTTTGCACGTAAAAACATCATCGATCTTAGTAGTTATTATACTACTACTTTCAAAATATATATTCCATTTTTGACGAGATGGAGTCTCCTCTCCTTCTCGTCAAAAATGGAGGAATTTCCCTACCATGATGGCCAATTCAATATAGTGTTATTTCTAGTTCCACTCTGTATTTGTTTTGTTTCCCAAGTAATCTCTTACAACATCCTAAAGATAAAGTGCAGTGACACATTGTACCTATTCTTATGATCACACTACATGTTTACTACAGGTTAAATAATACTTGTAGTTTATACCACTGGTCTTTTCACTTTATTATCCATACACGTTCTTATTAAACCCCAACCATAGTCTCCACTTCTCTGCATGACACATCCATACCAAGACAATCGATTACTTTGTAACTTCTTTGTTATTGTACACATGTATATACATAAAAGCTATATGTATTTTAGCAGACCTGTCTAGCGTAAGCCGCACCATAAAAACATTGTTCATGTAATTTACACTGATGACACGATTTTGATGCAGAAATCATCATGTCAACAGTGTCTCAGACTTCGAGTCATCGCCATTTATTGGGCCTTGGCCAATAACGCCCGTGTTTCTCTGAATTCAGGGGTTTGACTTAGTAGAGTGTTTTCTGTAGAAAAACGTCTAATTTGTACGATATAAATTTGAATAGTTCGTTGACACTCAAAGGAGGTAAAGACGATTCCTGTTACAAAAGTTTTCTTTGCCAAAAGGATATAAATTATACGGGAAACTACTATTTCAGTTATTTGATCATTCTAATGTAAATGTTTGCAATGTCACTACAACATTACGACGATTACGATTATTATTGTTTGTTATGAATAACGAAAGACTAAGTGTGTTGTATATGTTCTATAGTTTAGGAGCAGACATAACTATGTAATATGGCGTTGTTGTATTGTATATATAAAAGAAACTGATTCACCTGACGGTAAGTGGCATTCGACGCCTATTTATATGGACAAAACCACGAACAACGCTTCATGAAACTGCCATAGTATCACTTATGCGTTGCTATTCAGGAGAACTAAAATTTCATGCCCACGTACATTGTAATCTCGACCTTTAACCAAATAAAGTTTACAAGTAAACTGCTTGGCGACTGATATAGGTGACACAGAGGTACCCAAAGTGACGACTTTTACAAAGACTACCACGAGAATATGTGCGTATTAATGTACATTAATCAATTTTTCACTGAATTAACTTCTCAACAGTTCTTAACAATGCTATCCATAATGCTTCATAAACACCATACAGTTTAACTAAGACAATGGGCTATCGGCGCACCTGCGTCACCACACGGTATATGTGTTACCGCCGTTACCTTTACATGTTTATAACAATAGTGATCTACAGTGATTTATCGTACTTCCTAGAAGACATTAATATTATAGGAAATATACAGTTTTTAAATAAAGAATGACAACTGTGTAGGTTTATGTCATACAAGCGACTCATCTCGCTTCATGAGTAAAATTATTTTAATTTCTCGGCTGGTTCTATACATGCATGTATTATACATATAAACCTTCCTCTTGAATTATTATCGCTGAAAACTATGTTAAAATCCGTTGCGTAGTTTAAAAGATCTAAGTATGCAGTTAGTGAAAGTAAAACGTTTTTCTTGTACTATGTACAAATATATAAACTCAAACTGAAAAATATTTATTAACATAGAATCTTACGGCCTCTTGTGCACGTCATATTTTTTATCCCTACCGTCAAGTTCGTGAGTATTCAATGTCAAAAAAGTTAAGAGCACACGGACGAAGCCTGGACGGGCCAATAGTAATATACTTAATAAAACTTGACTTGTTCCCATTCAGATCACGTAGGCCAACGAACGCCACTTCCCTCTAATAATCATATGTAGTAATATAAAACGATGTCCATGTGTTGAAGAAGCAAGCTTACAATGAATCACCAGCCTTGTTCATCCTCAGAATATAAGTAGAGGCGATTAAGGGAACGAAGCAAAAAGTTTCGTCCGGTGAAAGGCCAATAAAATTAGAATAGTTCGAAAAAATCGCATCGTTGCAAGAATAAGATATAAAAGAGAATGGAAATTATTTTAGGAATGTAGGTGTTTTTATTTAAGAAAATGATTACTCTATTCAATTCTTACGTACAAGGCGATATGAATGTTATCAATGTGAAAATGTTACCGTTTTACGATTAACCGTCTGTACGAATCTTAATTAAATTTGATGAATTTTTAATATATCACAAGCACGGACATAGACTTTTTTCTATCTTAAAACCAGAAATATTGTATGTATTGGCTACATATAAATAATATAATAAAAAACTGATCATGCTGAAAGAAATCGATTTAAAAAGCCCACACCGCTCTATTTTCGTTATTAAAATGTAAACAACACTAAAACAATATTGAAAGATAAATATAAGCCTATTGCAGATTACGCCACTGTTTTATAGCTACCATATTGCTTATTCGCTTCTATTATATTTTTTATACCGTTGCAATATTGCTATTATTACAAACTGCCTTTTCGGAAACACACACTACATTGCTTTTTCGGTCTAAGCCTGAAGTTTATATTTATAATTTATAACTCTATTGTTATAGAAACACTGACAAGTCAAATTAATCTAGGCAAATACGGTATTTTGACCTCCTTCCATGTTAATTTCACATCAATTTCGCTGTGCATATTAACAAAATATACACAGCGAAATGTAAACTTATCATCAAATATTTTAATAGAGTAATCCAACTCAAATAATAGATTAATAATTGTTAATATTATTTTAAAATTTAAAGAACTTAGGGTTATTACTACTTTTTTAAACTATTACTAAGATATTAGAAGGCATAAAAAATATTCAAATAGGAAAAGACGATTTGAGTTTACTACGGCAACAAACTAAATATTTAAAAATCAACAACAATGATTTTTACTTATTTTATAGATTTGTTGCATGATTATTAATAGAAGGCGTAGATATCTCTAGTAAAATATAGTATAAACACTTATAATCTGTCAATTTATCAGTTCGCAGTACGTTGTATAAAATAAATATACAAAGTTTATGATTTATGAAATTGCGTTTTGGGCGTTCCCTTAAATATTTATACATCAGCTGGTACAATATTAACAGAGAAATGAAATATAATGCCACCACCACCAACAGAACTGAATGTGTAATGAAGTAGCGGGCTATCCGTAGAAATCGATGGCTATCAATGGAAATAAACTCACGTGAGAGTTCGATTGGAAATAGCTCACGATACTTCATATAGAATAGTGGGTATACAACAGGATGACAAATATTTTTATACCTCGAGATGCACAGTTATACTAAATAAATATATAATTAATACTACAGCAAATAATTTACTAAGATTTGATGACAGAAGTAACTAGTGTAGTAAAGTAAAGTGATGAAAAAAGTAAAGAATTACTGCCTTGTTTCTCTTACTTTATAATAAAGTAAATTAGGTATATACAATGTATACTTTACACATAAAGTATTACTTTATATGGGGTATGCAAACACTATAATTAGGTTAATAATATTTGACTGATCTGTTAACTTGAACATAAAGAAGTGAAAAATTCGGATTAGATTTAGGATTGTACTAAAATATTGTTAGATGCTTTTGATAAAGTTAATGTATGTCTGACATATGCTCCATACTCCGTAGTACTCCGTACTCCATAGTATTATATATATTGTTATATTAATGTAATTTTTCTCTCCATTCTCAGGTGATAGACTTCGGTAGCTCGTGCTACGAGACCCAGCGGGTGTACACTTACATCCAGTCGAGGTTCTACAGGGCGCCAGAAGTGATGATGGGCGCGAGGTACGGCATGCCCATAGACATGTGGTCTTTGGGCTGCATACTGGCGGAACTCCTTACAGGTAAGCTCATTTTTGTTTAATTGTAATTGGTATAGCTAAAATACAAAATACAAATACAAAAATGCTGAAGGTAAGTAAGTGATAACCAACGGATATATACATGACCAGCACTATAGACATAACGTAATCATGTATTGCCTGTTATAATTGCCATTCCGAAGGACTAAGATGTCATGCCTCGTATCCAGTATTTTTTCTATATTTAGAATCTCACCCCTCAACACAAACACAGCTTATTGTTCCCTCCTGAACTTCGACCTGTTTTTAGCTGAAATAGACCTTAACAATTTGTGTTCGTCCACTCATTGCACTGCCAAACTATTTAGAATATTCAGAGCATCTGCTATTGGTTGGGCGTTTGGACTGCTAGAATTAGGTACTAAATTTAAAATGCAGAATTGAGAAGTGGTAACAAGCGGCCAGCAAGCAGTCCTGTCAAAGAGGCCGTAACTATACCTACTATTATTTAAATTCCAGAAAGTAGCCGCGGGTTACTTAAATGTTGCTACAATATCCCACTGGATTATGTTTAAAGCTACGTGATGCAATATGTGGTGGATAATATTGTATATATTATGTTTGTATGTCGGTTCTTTATGTACAGAAAGCTATTGCATCTACTCTATAACTATGTAAAATAAATCGATCCAAAAAAGAGTAAAATAAAATCGTATATTTTTCTTATGTCACAAAATTAACAAGTCAAATTTATACAATAGTCTTTAAAGGTAAAAAAAAGAGGTTTTTAAGTGGCCAAAATACACTACCAAGTCCACAATACTATATATAATATTATTAATTATTATAATTTAAAAAAGTTCTTGTGATCATAACTTATCAATTCTTGGGTTTGTCAACAAGTATTTTATATTATTATAGTTATGTTATTCTTTAAATATCTGAATTCGTAATATTGACGCTAAGATTGACTGTTCCCATTTCAGGATATCCGTTACTACCTGGAGAAGACGAGGCGGACCAGATGGCATGCATCATTGAGCTGTTAGGTTTGCCACCACTAAAGCTCATCGAGCAGGGCAAACGGTCTAAGAACTTCATCAGTAGTAAAGGCCACCCGCGATACTGCACTGCCACCATAATGCCAGACGGGAACACTGTACTCAGTGGAGGTAAGTACTGTTTTTTTTTAATGGACGAATATGAAATGGTGTTTCCTCCGCCGTTACCGGTGTACGCTAGAATGACACTAGAGTGAAGGATTATGTAATGAGCATTAATTCAGGTTAGTCGATCGTGAAGGGATTCTGTAGGAATGTACCACGATGGTTTCAAGACTATACGTCGTCCTGATAGATAAGGTAGTATAGTTTGTTTCCAACAGCTAGCAAAGAAATAGGGAACAATGTTATATTTAGAGTTAATAATATCTAATTCTGAGATATAAACATCATAATAGTCTGTAAAAATAGTCTACTCGAAGTACTAATAGGACGCATTCGATGTCGCTGATATCAGCTAGTAATTCTATAAATAAAAGAACGACTATTTACATTTTCACATATTTATTCCAATGTGATTGATGCAACGTACAAATGCTAACATTCTGAATCACGAATACCAGACTCCTACTACATCACTACGTTACGCATCTTGACATTTTTCGTCACTAACGGTATAATGAGTCGATGACGCGTGACTCAACGGTTTAATCAGGTTGTGATTTAAAGAAGTGAGTGGGACATTGAGATCTGTTTACATAGGACAACTGGCCTGTAACTCTAATACGTTAATATGAATCGTAATGCAAATAATCTTGTTTCAAATAAATGTGGAAATTGTTCAAATGGGAATATACTACCATTCGTATGACTGAGATTAGGTTGTTGATTTTGAAATTAGGTTCGTTCTAACAATAGAATCAATTTTAAAGTAAAATTTCATTAAGATGTATTCAACTGTTTATCCGTGATATGTTAAATATCACTTTCGTATTTATAATATTAGTTAGAAGGTGATATTATAATTTATGAAATATCTTTGTATATATTGTTGTAAAATCAGTGGTCTATGGTAGTGGTTCTAGTGGTTCTATCTAATGCAAACCAAAGCCTTGAATTTCTAAAAACTGGACAGGATTTACAACGAGAAAATAAATTTGATTTATATTTTTCGAATATAAATGAGGTTTTTTATACAATCCGTATCCAAACTCGCAATTTATAATGTTGTCTACTCGCTGAAACTTTTACTTTGTATAAATATTAATGTAACATTAATCAACTGTACATTTAATTACGGATAAAATTTAGAATCCCATTAGCCTTCTATCTCCATGTCTTTCACTTGTGAAACCACAGAAGCTGCGAAACATTTGCTGATTAATTAGGTAGCCCAGTGTTTTTCAATCTGTGTGTTGAAGTTGACTCTATGACGACCGCGAAGCCTATCAAGGGGGTCACGGGTAATATAGAAATACAATTCCACGCCTCTCCGCGGTGCCCGACAAACTTACTTAGTCTCGCTATATCAGGTCGATGTCAACTTAAGATGTTAAATCATATTCGGATGTGTGTGTCCTATGGTGGGCGGAGGCAGAGGAATTTGTCAGAATTATCACTATGCATCGTCCAGAGGAGGCCCCGCACACACAGCGTACTGCCGTCCGTAGAAATCGCGATTCGAAGCATTTAGGCGGAAAAGAGGAATACGAATGGGACATTTAACTTGTAGGAGTCCTGTCAGTCGCTCATCTAGATTGTCCCCCGCAGCAAACAAGGCGTATATAATACATTTTTCTATCCCTAAAGAGAGCCAAATACTAAATGGTAACTTATTCATAAAGGTTGAACAGCACTGAGTGTAGGCCATGTTTAAACGCGCTCTCAGCTTTCGGGGGCGTTAATGCGGGAAGCACATGTAATCAACGTGCATGCATGCATTTCGCTGAATATGGATGAAGTAAACGAATCTTATTAGCATATAGATGGGGAGGTTCTAGCTGCTTATACCTACCGTTAGGATGCAATCTCGAGAGAGAATTTTTATAATCGTTGCTTCACTTATCTTTATTGAAATAGTTATTGTCTCTTTTTGCTGAGCATATTTTGTTCATTACATATAATTAGATAAGATAGTTTGTTTTGGGAATCCTTTGTGTATGTTACAAATTCAACGTAGGTTCATTCAAAAAAACATTTCAATGTTTTTTTTTAGGTAGCATTGTGTGCATTCATTTAATAGAGTAGGTATGATTTTAGTATTCATTCTAGTAAATATTAATGTCAGTCGTCCTAGTTTAAGGTATATTATCATTACAAATAGTATTCATTTAAATAAATACATTTATTCATATACAGTTTTTACAGTATGTATGAATAGTAAGTAAAAGTATTTATTTCTATTTTATGTAACTCTCGAATAAACATTTACTGCTTGCACTTGTGCGAACTTGTATAGTACAATAAACTTTCAGTATGTGACGTCGAATGGAGAAACTTGTCTGTAATTCTGCTAGTATCATATAAAATAATATATCTTGTATTCCTTATTAAAAAATCACAGTCAAGTATGTTTTTAATTTTTTTACAGACTTGTAGGTCAATGCACTGCTTTTACAAAACTGATTACAGCTTTAATGCTATTAAGTTTTAATGAAACAATAAAGTTTAGCGCCACTTACGCCATTCGCTGTGAATGGGCCCTAAAGCTGATATTGTTGGGGGACTGCCAAATGATGATGTTCAGATAATACCATGTTGTTTGTACGTCTGTCTGGGTGTTGTATTACCGGTTAGTTATTTCACGAGACATCCAATCTAATCGTACTATGTTAGTTTTCTTAACCTGGTTTATTGATTTCTGTGATTCCAATATTTTTAGCGTTAATTGACTTGTTTACCTTAAATCATTCGATTACATTATTTCCCCTAGTTTTGTATATGATTTCAAATAATTAGTGTGCCAATTTTCATCTAAACAGAAATGTAGGAAACAGATAAGGCAAATACTATTTGACATCACGTTACAATTTGCGCATTTATTATTTATTTATATTTACGCGAGGAATAAAGCGGAGTGACAATAAATATGTGCAAAAGCAAGTGTCAGCTAGTCATAATATACTACTATTTACTGACCATACTAGGGCTCACTGTATTAGAACTATTACTATTTTATATTTTACATACAAATAACTATATCCGTATTGAATGTTATCTAATGATTAATTGTATTAATTTGCAGGCATGTCGAGGAGAGGTAAACCACGCGGTCCGCCCGGGACCAAGAGTTTCGTCACAGCCCTAAAGGGATGTCAAGACAAATTTTTCATTGATTTTATTAGAAGGTGAGCATTTATTTCCTTTAACTATGATATCTATTATATTGATAAAGCGGGTCAAGCTGAAAACTAAATTACAGAATAGAAATGTAATATGTAAAATGAACTAACAACATCTACTACTAAAACAACTACTACAAAAGTTGCCTGTAAAAATCGCTACTTAGCGATAACACCGCCCATTGTTAACTCTGTTATAATTATGACTTTGCATTTTTATTTTAACATTTGTTTAAAAAAAAAGCAAATTCTTGCGTTGTTTTTAAACAGCAAATTGTTCGTTTGCTTTACAAATGAATAGTAGTATAATAAATACAGTCAAAGGTGCTTATATTAAATTACATTAATATCGGTCAATAATTTAAATAATAGTAGTGTTAATCAAACATCGTATAACTCAGGTGCCTACATTGGGACCCTGAGTTGCGGCTGACGCCGATGGCGGCGCTGCGGCACGCGTGGCTGCGGCGCCGCCTGCCGCGGCCACCGCACGACGAGGACGCGCCGCCAGCGCTCAACCACAACCACGTTAGTATAGCGCACCAGGTCAAACGCCTCGCCCAGACTAAGTGCACAGACAAATAGGTTTGTTTATATCGCTTCTTATGTTCTTTTTCTAACGCAGATGCTTGTAAATTGTAAACATAGTAGAAATGGGCCACATTCTGTTAATTAATCTAATAGTATCTAAAATGATCTTGGGTGTCTATAATTCTATCGTGTGGCAGGTAGAGAATATACTAAGACTCGTAATGTGGGTGTAAGTTTAAGCGAAATCCAATCTGCTGACCCAAAGATTTGCCTACTTTTTAGCCCCACATTTTCACTAAAATACTTAATGATTAAGTATTCCTTTAAATAATATCGAGGAAATATTTCATAAGGTGAATATTTCACTATAACCAGTTCAAATATTTTCCGGCGAAATACTATAAAAATATTCTTGGGGCATTATAAAATCATTCAAAAATTCGTTGTAAATTGTTTATGCATTACTATAGTAATACATTATAATTTACTGTGTATTATATATGAAATTGTTTTTAGATCAAATACTAATATAAAGCCATTAGATCAAATATAAAGCCGAATCATAAGAATATAAGGCTTATTATAAAAATATTTTTATGCACACACAATTGCAGGACATAACACAGATGAAATAAAAATTACCCATACCTATGAAAGAAAAAAAACTGTTAAAAGAATATACAACTAAGTAGAATTTATTAATATAAAAGTTAAAATTATAATATATAACATTCGAGGACTAACTACTACATGATCATGAGATAGTTAAACAAAAGAAATTGTAATTATGGTGTAAAGAGTGTGGTGTAGAGTTCTATACAAATTAGCAGAATTGTGGCCCCATTAATAAGTGCCAAGTCTAAACGATTGTAGCAACACAGATATCGCATTATTAGTAGTTTTAATAAATTTTTATATCTATATTTTTAATTGTACTGGTGCTTATTTCATATTGACTTTATTTATATTTAATATATCATGTAATTATTAATTTAAAAATAAATTTAACGTATTTACATCATAATAACAAATTCATATCACCAAAATTCACCAGAATCATATTTATTTATCCATTTTTTATTGTGTTCATTTATTTAGCCTTACTGTATTTATAATGATTTTTATTCTAGTAAATTTCATGTTGAATACATTTTTTATTAGTAATCATTACATTTAAAATAATTGAGTTAAAAGTGTTCGCTTTTCTCAGTTATAAATAAGAAACATCTACCTGAAACTTTTTATGTTACAAACCAAATTTATTATCTGTGATTTAGCCTTTTAGCCATAATTCGGTTTACAAGCATCTGTCACAATTACTATAAGTTGCTCTATTATTTAACACTAGCTTTGATATATTATTTATTTCATGTGCATTGTAAATAAATAGTATGACATTGCGAATTTGCAGTTTTGTTCTAATTTTAATTTATTGCTAACATTATTTGTATGCTTAGTGAGAGTCCGCAACGATCAAATGTAATAAAACAAATTATTAAATACAAATCTTATTATATTATTACAAGAAAGTTTGAGAATATGGATGGATGGATGTATTTTACTCTTTCACGGTAAAACTACAGATCGGATTTTAATGAAACTTTACAGTAATATATGTACCTAATTATTAAACTTCTCTGCTTATTAAAGTATTAAAAATAAACCGCAAGCATGTTTAATACTAGATGTATTAAATGTATTAGACAGAGAGCTAAATGAGTTTCTTCATCAGAATAACACATAGACTATAATGTAAACAGATATTACGTGAATTGGGCGAAATTAGTGCTAAATATGAAGTAAGTGTGATGCAGACAAGTTGTGTGCCATTTGTATAGTATATTGTATTTGTGAGTGAACGTACGTTTTAATTTGTTTTATTGGAATTTGTTCTGCGGACACAGCTTTAAGGACTATCATACGGATTAAGAGTGTGCTGCTTTTAGCAACTGTCTACTTAATATTGTTACGAATTATTATAAACCTTAGTATCTCTATATAAGTGTGGATTAAGTTTTTTGTCATGTCTCAAAATTTCTTATTAATAAGTGTTTGAATTCTTTTATTTTAATGTAGGTATGATATTAGTTTAAAGATTTAATTTATAAATTTTTAATAGTAATTAATATTTATTCGTAATGTGGATCTTTATTTATATATTTACATGCCAGCTTCAGGGTATGCAGACAGGGTTGGGTACTCCTATACTTTCATAAAACCTATTACTAATTTCGCCTACTTTCAAATTCTTATTTTTCACTTCAATTATGGAAACTCGTCTATACTCCATGAGACTGTATATGATGTATCTCATTATGATAGTTTACGTCTCCACGTAGTTATATTCTCTAAATGCCCCAACCAGTGTAACGTGCACTTCGACATTTTCTCTCTCTCTCTCTCTCTCTCTCTCTCTCTCTCTCTCTCTAATATGTATTCGTATCTAAAACGTTAATCTATTCATATAATAAAAAAATAACCGATTACTGTATTTATGTATATTGTTGGGTGACGTATTCGTATTAAAACCCAAAACAAATATTTTTGAAATGTCTGTCTGTACCTTTATGCGCGATCTCAGAATACTAGGGTATGCTTACAAGTTAGTATTTGTTTGCAATCGGTTTACAAACAAAAATAATTTACGGGTACGAATATTTAGTGCCAGTGGGGTCTGCGAATTATTGAAATAAATATTATTTCTTATCTGTTATACTAAGAATTTCTTCCCTATTATCATACCTTCCCATCATTACCTTATGGAAGCATGCTTTAGGTGGTTTTTATGACAAATAAATGGCCTTCTCTTTATTCTCTTTTTTCTATTATCTTCCTTTTTCTCTATTTCTATCAAAAATCATGGATCAACTAATGCCAGGAACTTTTCATTTGTCATTTATTTGATTGAATGTTATTGGTGGAAATTAATACATAAGTGTAGTTGTCATATTATATTATTGTTCAATGCTTATAAAATGTACAATATAAATATGGATAAAATAACCTAACATTGTAATTCAGTATTATATAATTTTTAAAGTTTTGTATTATAATACATTATATGACTTCATGCCAGATGTTTTATAAGGTAAGCAGAGAGAACTCAATGTCATATCTCCTTACTTTGTTATTTTGGATTATTCCTCAATTATAACTCGACTCATGCATGCATCCAGTCTTATATTATTTTTTTAAGACAATAAATCATAAAATGTACATATCAAAAATGACGCAAATTGTTTGATATTTAAATTTCATGTTTTAATACAAATATTGAAATATTACGTCAGAAAATTTAGACCTCTCCCACCAGTGGGAGGATTCTAGATTTCATTTTTTTTTTACTATTGTATTAGATCACGCGTTAAGAAGTCGATAAAGTGTGACATATGTGTGTTCATATGTCAAACAAAATCATACGTTAAGGGGTTGATCACTGTATCGACCCCTTAACGTATGATTTCGTTTATAGTTTACCCCAATTTACATTTTCTTTAGTAAATTAACGTCAAGTTGTTAATGTACAAAAGAAAATGTATGTAATAGTGTATAGTATAGTATTATATTAAAAAAAATACATGTTGAGTTTAATTTACCTAAAGTATTCAAATCTGACCCGTATTTATTTCTAATCTGTAGTTTAGAATATTCAAGAAAAATTCAAGAGTACTACTTGTTTACGAATTTATTATTATGCTATCGATAGTGTTTACTCCTGTAGATATTAACTTCTAGATTGTACTGTACTCTTAGACAATTACATTTATATTTTTAATTTGATGACGGAATGGTGGTCTTGTTTACGCTGTGTACGCAAGTGATTAGTGAGGCAGTTAGGCTATCTTGATAAATTCACATAGAATGAACCTGAGCAAATACAGATGCAGTGTGGGACGGACTTCAACGGATAACGGGACCACTATTCCCTTTTACTGGCTCTCTCATCTCCCCAAGTACTTACATTCTATTTAGTATGTTGTAATATAGGGTGTTACCAGCGATGGTGTGAGCATGTGGGCGGTTTGGTTGCAGACGAGCAGTTCGGGCGGAGCGGGGGCGGCGGCGTCGTGCGCGGCGGCGGTGGGCGCGGGCGTGGGCGGGGGGGTCGCCGCGGCGGCCGCCGGCGCCCGCGGTGGCTCCCTGCGGACGCCCCTCGCCCGCACTCCCGTCACCTTTAATGCCTCCCACGTCGCCAGTTAGTACACACTACTATACTTCCAAATAATGACGTGACAGCAACCTTCTAAGTTTCTATAAAGGGCTCTTTAAAATGGCAGAAGACTTTGGAAATGTTTTATGTCCAGCAGAGGATAGTAACAAGCTGATATTGACGATAGTGCGAACTGGCTGTTGTATTAAACGAGTCTGTTTTTTCTGGCTGACCTTACATAGGCGTGCTAGGTAGGCCTCGGTCAGGCTGATTTCCGAACTATAGTGCCCTATATTTAATATAATAAATACTACTACTGAACTCTAATGAAATATAATATTATCCGAACTGATTCAGTCGTCGACAGTCAACACTAACAAACTCCATTGCCATTTCTAAGAAATATGCTTAACAATATACGACTTTTTCGCAAAATCTAATCTCGGATAGAAATCTATCAACTGCAATGTATATTTTGGCACAAAATGTTTATGTAGCTGTTATATGCTTGAATTCCAGAAGCGAAACTACAAGCGGCGTTGTCTGAGGAGAGCGGGTCGTCGGGCGCGGTGAGCGGAGTGAGCTGCGTGAGCGGCGCGAGCGGCGCGGGCGGCGCGAGCGGCGCCAGCGGGGCGGGCGGCGCGGGGGGCGCGGGGGGCGCGGGCTGCGGCGCGCGGTACTGGCCGCCCGGCAAGCTGCCGCACCTGCCCGCGCCCTCCTAGCGCCCGCCCTCCGCTCGCCGCCTAGCCAAGGTACGAGTTCGCTGCGTATACACTCTCCCAGTTACTAAGTCACGCGAGCATTCTGCTCGTAACTCTATAACCATCTATAGACTGTTTTAATGTATTTAGCAACTTTTTTTTTAAACTTAACAAGCATTTTATAACTTATTGGTTTTTACTACAAGTGCTATGTCTGCAACTGTAGGTCTGAAATTAAAGTGGACGATAAACCAGCAGAACTGTTTATAAATTATTCGTCAATAAAAATTCTGCCGTCCACTACATTTATTTAATATTCACATTTTGTATACAATTTCTGTTTAAGTCGCAAATGTGCCAATGGTATACGATGGCTTGACATCATTGAACAATGGACACGATGAAGTCAGATCAGTTAGCTCAATGTTTCGAATTTACGAGAAATCCGGGGATTTCCATTGCCAACAATGAGGCCACTAAACCCCAATACTGAGAACGTATTTTCCCATCGCTAACATGAGAGCTATAGGTAACAGTAAAGTAACATGTAGCCGTGTGTGTTGGCAGGTGTCGTCGCTGGAGGCGCCTCGACGCGCGACCGCGGCGGCGGGCGGCGCGGGCGCGCGGCTCGAGCTGGAGCGGCGCAGCCTCGACCTGGAGCGCGAGCTGCGGCCCGGCCGCCACTCGGACGCCTCGCTCGACGACCGCCACCACCTCGTCTGATACCGCTCGCCTCCGCCCGTCGCCGCCCGCACTCGCCGGACTCTGGGAAGCCGGCCCTCGATTCGCGAACCTCCGCTCGACCCAATTGTGGCGTCCGCGTTCTCTCTCTGTCCCCAGAACGTCGTACATGAGAGTAAATGTAGGTCCGCACCGACCGAATCCAACGAGACCGACGCTCGAAAAACCAAGAATTGCAGTTGGTCATTCTGTTTTTGATTCGTTGGCTTTTGTCGTTGCGGACGCGACTTTAGACGCACGCTCCTCATGTTCCTATGTAGGTATGTTGTATCTATGCGGCGGCGACCACCGTCGTCCCCGACGAGCGTCCAACCTAGTGCGTAGAGGCAAAATTGATCTCAGTAATAAAATAAAGACTATGAATAAGTATAAAGGACATCTAGTGGAATTGTGCGAGTAATAACGTGTTTTACTGTTTTCTATGTATTATACATATAACGTAAACGTAAGGACGTACGATGTCGGATGTGTCGGTGTTAGTGCCTACTAAGTCTGGTTTAGAATTAGGAACCTCGACCACTATTAAGGGAACTCTTTGATCATTTTACCGAAACGACATGTAAGCTTCCGAGAGTTGAATTTTTTTCGCTCACGCTTCGCTGTGAAGTGTTCAGTATGAATTCGTAGAATCTTGCAGCGTATTACACAAGATTTTAACTGAATTTTTTTGTACGCCATGCCAAAATTGGAATGACGAGCAGTGCACTGGTCGACGCCATACGAAGTCGATATATAATTATAGACCTTAAGTTGATGCGTATAATGTTTATAGTTTAACGATGCCAATGTTATATATGTTATAGGTGTACTAGTGCGCTGCGACGTCCCATGACACTCGCCTCGGGACTTACAAAGTCCCGAGACGGTGTCACAGTTCAGGAGCGATAATTTTTTTTATAATAAAAAAAATATATATAGAAAATTCCCTCTCGAAGCCGTAGATTAAGCGAAACTCTTATTGTGTGTGACTAAATAACATAACAATTTTCTACAAAATCCGTTTTTTTTTGTAATTAATTTTGTAATTTGACTAAGTTCAATCTCGTGTTATAATTTACTTTCTCAAGTGATATAGACATTGTATTAGTAACGAAATGGTGACCTTATACTCGGAATTATTAAAGGATATAAGGGTAGTTAGTTACAAGGCCTTTGCTAATTTTAAGAGCTACGCTATGCTATTTTTATTTCAGTGAATAATAGCATAGTAGATGTTGTGGTGCCTCATATATTTGGTTGGTGAAACTATATTTTGTTTGTATATGCGCTTTACTTATGTAGAGGGTACATCGAGTACATATATAATTGCCCATTGCCATACAATATGGAGCTACATGATTAGTATTTTCATTTCACTATTTACAATTATATTGTTCCTCAAATATGATTTATATTTCTAAAATCCAATATTGAAGCATTTGGAATGCTATGTCGTTGAGCAAAGCAGCATTAAGTTGTAAAAATCTTAAAGCTTTTGATATAAAATTGAGTATTCGTTAATATATAACAAATGCTCAACTTTATATCACATGCTCATTCTCAACGGTCATTATTCAAATATATGTATATACATGTATTTGAATATACAAAACGAATAAATAAACAGTGCAATACTTTGGATAATATGATTTCGGTCACTTGTTTTGTCTTCCTATATTTCTTAAAGTTTTTCTAAAGGCCTATAATTGATGTGTATATTCGACTAAAAGCATTTCTATTTTTAGTTTATAGTGTTTATTTTTTTTTCTTTCAATGTACCATAGATAAAAAAGGTATTTGTATTACTTTGTCTACAGATTTACTGTATTTGTGTTATATGAAATATTGTGGTTAACAAATGAAATGCACATGTCGATTGAAAATGTGTTGTAGTGGTGATTTTTTTTTTGTAAGCGACGGACCCTCTTTGATCTAGCACAATTGTTTAAAATGAAATGTGATGATTATGGTTATTGATGTATGTGTAAATGGATATTTTGGTAGGTAGTTGATAAACTCACTGATTTTATATTTATTTTATTATCTGGAACAAATTAACAGCCATTTAAAGGTATTGGTTTAAAAGTCATCTCTAATATATGAAATAAAATTAACTCTGTCCCTTGATGAAAATCGATAGCAGATATAGTTGAATCCACATCTGGTGTGGTGTCATTTGAAGATACAAGTAATTTTAATAATTTAAACTCTTGTCGTTTTTTTTAAATTATGAGACAGCAGCAGAAACGAAAGGACTAACGTTCAATAACGAAAATAGATTCCTTCGACTTTTTTTTTTATATATGAAGGGCAACCCTTTATATAAGATAGACTATAAAAAACTGGATTTCTATTATTTAGACTGAAGCAAAATAACAACTAATAGCTACTTTAAGGTATTATATAATAAAATGAGAGCGGAATGAAACCTACCATGTAGGTTCTTTTACTCTATAGTAAAGTTATAACAAATTTAATTTCTGTCAGAGAGTTTATCGTCAACGCTTACTACTTACTATCCATTACAATAATTAAAAATACTTGCATAATATTTTCGTACTTACTATGGACACAATTATAAAGATTTGACATTAAAAAATCTAAATATCGTTTGACATTTAATTTTAATTCAATTTCCATGTATGATTATCATATTTACCATTTAATCGTTAATTGCAAAGTTTATACGTAATTGTTAATGAGGGTTCCGTACCATAGATAATAATAATCGTTTGACAGTATCTCATACTCAAAGTAGCATTTTTATTTTGATAATTTTATTAAGTTAACTGTCTTGTATTATTGTGCTCAATAGTTTAATATTACGCAGTAGACTGCAGGCTTACCGCTGAACAGAGACACCTAGAATATTAGTATGTATAACATGACAAAAGCAAAAAATGCTATTTATGTAATTGTATTACTTTCCCAACAAAGAAAGTGAGATATGAAAATAATTTTTAATAACTTGCTACAAATAGTCCGTTATTTGGTGACTTTGGTATGAAAAGTTCAAAATTTATTTTCTAATTTACACATTATTCCTTATTGCAAGTGATTAGGTTTCATGAGCATGCTACCTTGCTTTTATCTTGGTATACGTATGTCGAAGTACGTATATGTAATCGTCACATAAATAATACATGTCTCGAGTGTATAATTTCGTTTCGGCGGTAAATCTCTAGTATTCTCGTTTAGGTACTGACAAACTGCGATGACATTAGTTTATATTTTTTTGGGACTAATTGCATAATCACCGTATTTTTGGACACGGTATTATCAAGTTCGATACCGTAATGATAGTTACACCCAAAAGTTCGTTGAATATGCAAGACCTTTACCCGAATAGCGGTTTAAGATATTTAGTCAATTATTGTATAGCTTTTTTTTTAATTTTTCATTGAAAACGTGAGGGCTGAGGTAAGTCAATTCATCAGCCTTTGGATTCAAATTGTGATAGCTTATGCTCGTAAAGTTCCCATCACCCTAATTAGTTATTCATCGGCATTGAACTGTCGACTATGTCCTCA